AAAATATTGTTAATTTTTATTGCATATTAAGGTGAACATTTCGGTTAAAACTATATTTTAATACGTTATTTCAAGATATTTAGGGCATAAAAGTCCTTTCCCAGTTTGACACTTAATCGTTAACATTTAACCTATAATCGACTGCGCGAATATTTCCGTTATATATCAGTCAACATCCCAGCAAAAACTATCACGAATTCGGGGCCCCTTACCTATTAAAATGTCGGTGGATCTGGAATGCTGCTTGAAACAAAGACGCATAATTGCACAACGCATAACTATTGTACCCTTCCTTCGATCAATACCAGTAGAATGCCATAGGAGTATATTAAGAAACTGGCCACGGACCGCGCGTGATCTTTCTTTCCTGTGCCTAGTCGGATACTCTTCCGGTTCACACATACGTATATGCATTTCATAAACATACTATAAAAACAGAATCTTCGCCCTTCCCCACCCCATTTTCGTAAACCAAATTGTAAGAGTGCTTTTTAAGACCATATTACCACGTTCATTAGCCGGAGCAGCATAATGTAAGATCCGCTCAAATAGTGTTTCGTATTCACTGAATGAGAAAGCACGTAAACTGGACGTCATTATTTCAGGTGCATGTGTTCCACTTCAGCGAGGCCTAGAATACTAACACTATAAATGAATTTCGTCTAAACGTAATGAAGAAAGGTATCTCATGCATCGTTTTTGCTTAGAGTATGCATACCGTCTACTCATTGAAAGCTCTGCAGTTCTCCCGAAAGGGCGAGATCAATGGACATCAGACACTGCCGCATACCACTCGGAGGTTCTCGCTCTGACCGCCAACAACGCACGGAATCTACATAACCTTGAGAGGCAGTACAGTGGAGAGAAGCCCACCAGTCCTCGTTCTTGCCATTACGCTTTGCACATTGTGACGGGAACTTCCGCACACACACTTCGGATGTCCTTCGTAGGCAGCACGATGGAGCGGAGTCCATCCTTGTTCTATGCACTTAACTTGAACCAGTTGGAGGTTTATCGCCGGGCTTCAGGAGAGTCAGGATAACACCATTAATCAGATGACTAACGAGTCGTAATGAACAACCTTCAGAAGAGTTTTAGCAATAGCGACATTACGTTATGAATTATTACAAAAGCATTTCAAGCGTGTAACAAAGACGTTGCATAATATATAAAAAAGTATAGGCTAGTGGCGTCACACCCAAAACACGGTACAAGTCAAGGGGATAACATCTACATTGTGCACGAAGATTTAGATTTTGTGGCCCTCTCCGATGAATTGGCAATGTGGAGTTTTGAATCGGCTTCACATGAAAATGAAGGGAATATCTTAAAACAGCGTTGGTGATGAACATAAGAGATAACATAAGAGATAACCAGAAAATATGATTTCATCTTCTTTTACGGGAGTTTATCTGTCAACTTTCCAACATTTTCTGTTAATTCTTGCCAATGTTATGGAGTTGGTAAGAAATAATTGTTACTGGCTCACATACGAGAGTCGGTTTATCAGAATTGGAAAAATTCAATCTTTCCAGTTTTTAGGCGACTACTTTGTTGTTTGTAAGGTAACCGCTGAGACTTCTACAGGCGTGCACTATTTATAAAGGTCTAATATCGTACCTTAGGTCTAAAGAATGCTGTTATGACTTCAAGGTCCGTCATGTAATGTCATGACGTATCTCCTTTGCGCGCGGCTCTAAAACTCGAATCTCTCGTAGGCAGCGCGGTGGAGAAGCGTCCACACGCATATTCGCCGGAGGCAGCACTAGGGAAAGGAGACCACCCATTCTTTTTCTTTGGAGTAACGACGGCGCTTTGAGTCAGTAGCTCCCGCACACACTCCATGTCCCTCAGCGGCAGCATGGTGGACAAGAGTGAACACGTACTCGTTCTTTGCATTAACGCTTGCGCTTTGAGGTAGTAGCTCTCGCAACGCACTCATGTTCCTCGAAGGCAGCGTTGTGGAGAGGTGTCCACCCATCCTTGTTCTTTATATTAACGTCTGCGGCTTTAGCCTGCAGCTCTCGCACGCACATATGTCTCTCGGCAGCAGAGATGTGGAGAGGTGTCTACTCATTCTTGTTTTTTTGTATTAACGTCTGCGCCTTAGGCCTGTAGATCTCGCACGCACCCATGTCTCTCGGCGGCAGCGATGTGGAGATGTGTCCACTCATCCTTGTTCTTTGTATTAACGTCTGCGCCTTTAGCCCGTAGCCCTCGCACGCACCCATGTCTCTCGGCGGCAGAGATGTGGAAAGGTGTCCACTCATTCTTGTTTTTGTATTAGCCTTGGCGCTTTGAGCCTGTAGCTCTCACACGCACTCATGTCTCTCGGAGGAAGTGGTTTTGAGTAGTGTCCACCAATCCTTATTCTGTGTATTAACGTCTTCGCCTCTAGCCTGTAGCTCTCACACGCACTCATATCTCTCGGAGGAGGCGGTATTGAGATGTGTCGACCCTTCCTTGTTCTTTATATTAACGTCTGCGCCTTTAGCCTGTAGCTCTCGCACGCATCCATGTCTCTCAGCAGCAACGATGTGGAGATGTGCCCACCCATCCTTGTTTTTTGTATTAACGTCTGCGCCTTTAGCCCGTAGCTCTCGCACGCACCCATGTCTCTCGGCGGCAGAGATGTGGAAAGGTGTCCACTCATTCTTGTTTTTTTTTTGTATTAGCCTTGGCGCTTAGAGCCTGTAGCTCTCTCACGCACGCTTGTCCTTCGGCGGCTGCGATGTGGAGATGTGTCCACCCATCCCTATTCTTTGTATTAACGTCTGCGGCTTTAGCCTGTAGCTCTCGCACGCACCCATGTCTCGGCGGCAGCGATGTGGGGATGTGTCCACCCATCCTTGTTCTTTGTATTAACGTCTGCGCCTTTAGTCTGTAGCTCTCGCACGTACCCATGTCTCTCGGAGGAGGTGGTTTTGAGATATGTCCACCCATCCTTCTTCTTTGTATTAACGTCCGCGCCTTGAGCCTGGAGCTCTCGCACGCACACATGTCTCTCGGCGGCAGCGATGTGGAGAGGTGTCCACCCATCCTTATTCTTTGTATTAACGTCTGCGCCTTTAGCCTGTAGCTCTCGCACGCACCCATGTCTCGGCGGCAGCGATGTGGAGAGGTGTCCACCCATCCTTGTTCTTTGTATTAACGTCTGCGACTAGCCTGTAGCGTTAGCACGCACCCATGACTCGACGGCAGCGATGTGGAGAGGTGTCCACCCATCTTTGTTCTTTATATTAACGTCTGCGCCTTTAGCCTGTAGCTCTCGCTCGCACCCATGTCTCTCGGCGGCAGCGATGTGGAGATATGTCCACCCATCCTTATTCTTTGTATTAATGTATTCGCCTTGAGTCTGTAGCTCTCACACGCACTCATGTGTCTCGGCGGAAGCGATGTGGACATGTGTCCACTCATTCTTGAATTTTTTTTATTAACGTCTGTGCCTTAGGGCTGTAGATCTCGCACGCACCCATGTCTCTCGGCGGCAGAGATGTGGAGAGTTGTCCACCCATCCTTATTCTTTGTATTAACGTCTGCGCCTTTAGCCTGTAGCTCTCGCACGCACCCATGTCTCTCGGCGGCAGAGATGTGGAAAGGTGTCCTCTCATTCTTGTTTTATTGTATTAGCCTTGGCGCCGTGAGCCTATAGCTCTCGCACGCACCCATGTCCCTCGGCGGCAGCGATGTGGAGATGTGTCCACCCATCCTTGTTCTTTGTATTAACGTCTGCGCCTTTAGCCTGTATCTCTCGCACGCACCCATGTCTCTCGGCGGCAGAGATGTGGAAAGGTGTCCTCTCATTCTTGGTTTTTTGTATTAGCCTTGGCACCGTGAGCTTGTAGCTCTCGCACGCACCCATGTCCCTCGGCGGCAGCGATGTGAAGATGTGTCCACCCATCCTTATTCTTTGTATTAACGCCTGCGCCCCTAGCCTGTAGCTCTCACACGCACTCATGTCTCTTGGAGGAGGTGGTTTTGAGATATGTCCACCCATCCTTCTTCTTTGTATTAACGTCCGCGCCTTGAGCCTGTAGCTCTCGCACGCACACATGTCTCTCGGCGGCAGCGATGTGGAGATGTGTCCACTCATTCTTGTTCTTTGTATTAACGTCTGCGCCTTTAGCCTTAGCTGCCACACGCACTCCGCCGCTCCCGCGAAGACAGCGAGGCGGAGAGAAGTGGACACTTCCTCGTTCTTTGCATTAACGCTTGCGCCTTGAAGCAGTAGCTCTCGCACGCACTCATGTCTGTCGGAGGCAGCGTGTGGAAAGGTGTCTACTCTTCCTTTGTTCTTTCTCTTAATGTCTGCGCCTTGAGTCAGAAGTCCCTACAAGGACTCCGCTTATCCCGCGAAGACCGTGAGATGGAGAGGAATGGGCACTTCTTCGTTCTTTGTATTAACACCTGAGCCTTGAGCCAGAATCTCATGCATGCATTCCGTCCAACAAATCTGTTCTACGAAGGCAGTGCTGTAGCGATTAGTCCACTCCTCCTTTGTCTTTGCATGAACGTCTGCTCCTTGAATCTGTAGTTCTCGTCCGCAGTCAACATGTAACCCAGTGTAAGCGTGATGTATGGTCAATTCGTCTTAGCCCTTTGTATTCATTTTTCAGTACGCCCAGTAGCTATGGCACGCTCTCATCGTCTGTTCGTGGAATGAAAAGAAAGGGCTTTTTTTACGTTTCTAACATTGACATATCCGCTTTGAGCAGTGCTACTAACGTGTTTGCGGTGGCAATGAGGCTCGGTCCTCCAGATTCTTGCCGCACTAACTTAGACACACCGTCCATGAAGAGACACTTCACATCGGCGTTCTTGACCTTCGTCGTTGTTACCTTCACCTGTTGAGCATTGTACGCGGCTCCGTGACGCAGGATGCGGTGCACAACGTCTGCCTGGCTGTTTGCCGTTGCTTTCACGTTCCTCACGTTGAGCAATACCACAGTGTTCAGGAGAAGAACAATTTCTGTGGACCCATTTCTTGCAAATTGCTCTAGTTTCGTGGCACCGTCTGTGTCCTTGATGTCAGCATTTGTCCCAGCGACCAGGAGGCGTTGGGCGACCGCCAAGTGCCTCTGGGCGACGGCGCCGTGCAGCGGCCTGCACAGTCAGTGACCCACAGCGTCCAATCACGCAGCCACATCCTAAAGGACTGTTCCAGGCCTTCAGGTGCCCTCCAATCGCCGCCGCATGTAGAGCGGTGTATCCACCTGCTGAGGGCTGTGATTTACATCGAGCAACCTCCATTTCCATTTTGAAGATGAGAGTGCCAACGTCTCTCACAAATTCCTCCAAGGAGGTGAATTTAGTCTTCAGGAGATTCAATTTCCTTGGAGGCTTCTTTCCAGCATGTTGTAATTACTGGAAACTGCAATTTCTTCCTGCAAACAAAGAAAGCAATTTCTCAGGGACAAATGTAATAATATTATAAATTGGTAGAACTGTAGAAAAATTTAACAGCACTGCGCAAATGTTTCATGTACTTAACAGAAAAACAGGAGCCAATGAAATAGTTTTTCGAGCTAAATACATATGTAAATGGGCTCAGCTTTTCTAAAACAAATAGAAATATTGCCTGACAAATTGAATACCATGTCGATGTTGACATTCGGAGCGAAGATAAATTATTCCTACAATGGTTTGATGACAACACTAAAAGTTCATTTAACAGTAAAACGCCCGACGTGCCATTTTGGAACACTTGACATTTTCATATGCGGCTGCAAACTGATATTTGAAATCCATGGAGGTGTTTGTAGAATGTATTTTGATGGTCGTGCACCAGCAGGATTTTGAGGAGCAGCAGGGAAGGAAAGGCAAGGAAAACCTTACCTCTTCTTCGTGTGCACGAAGCTTCCGCTGTCAGAAGGGGGAATCGCAGTTCCACTTTTGCGAGTCCATATTTGACTACAACTGAAAAGCTGTTTATCGGAAAGTAAATGTCCCTTTGCATAGTTGACACTCTAACACCACCACCACTCCTATAATAATACACACATTCTAGCACGAACAGCTACTCATAAATTGTAGGCTGAAATACTGCATGCGTTTTGACCAGGATTCTGACGCCTCGGCCGACCAAGCGGACGGTCGTACAACACTTTGAGGCATGGCCCGTTGTCCCCATTTGCGACTATGACACGCGTAGGGGAAACCCCATGAATTTCCCCGCAGGGGGATCATGGCTGCGTAGGTAGGCATGGTCGCTGGTGGAGACTTGTAGACATAATTTCGCGGTGTAACTCACACCGGTAGCTTCAAGGTGGAGGCAGTGAGTAGGCCTAGGTTCTCGCTGTTACTCACGTCGTTAGCCTCACGGTGTAGTCAGTGAGGGGACGGAATGAGGGGCTCCAAGCCGTCCGGACCGTAGTTCGACCACCAGTTAGGCTCTCGGATTCCTCCTGGCAGTGGCCCAATGCTCTGGGCAAAGAGAGGGACTCGGGTGTCCCGGCGCATGTGAGTGGCGCGTCATCACACGATGATATTGCCTGGTACTGGCCTAGAAAGATAGTAGCTCTGAGCCCAGCGGGGCGGCCCAACCCAGGCATTGAAATGGAAGGTTGCCGAGAGAGCAAACTGGATTCCGGCTGGACTCGGATATCTTTGTCGTACATGTTCGGTGGCAGGGGGTAAGATTAAATGCGAAACGTTCAGGAGCCCACCCCGGGGACGTGTGCCTCTAGATAGAACATGAATTGTTGTGGAGTTGTGCCCGCAATAGGAATTCGCTGTACGGCTGGACAAATGCGTCGGGGAACACCGAGCACATGGTCTAATGAAGCACTATTACAACAATGGAGTAGATTTGAGCCCCTCGCCACATTAGAATAACGAAATGATATGACTGACCAGACTGGAAAATTGGCTATGGGGAAACCAAAGGTTGACATTCTAACAGCTTACGCTGTTTTATTGAACATTCCATTTTCTACGCATGGCAAATACAGTGTCAGAACTTGGATTTCAAACACACAAGGATTAAGGACTCCGTAAAACCTTTTCTCTTGTTGAGGTTCTTGGCGTGAGGAGATAGTACTTACATCGAATGGTCGTTTTACCATGAGTCATGATTATAGACGTTTTTAATGTTTTTCGCTTTGTATTCTAATGATATTTTAGCTTGACATTGCCACAGTATTTTCTGCATAAATATGCGTAAAATAATTTGACACGGTCGCCAATGACCATGGATATTTAGCACCGTTAATCATTATCATCATGATAATGAATCTTGGGTCCTTTTATTCAAAATGTGATCTTTAATCCATTTATAGTAAACAAACGTAATGTAGTCCAATCAAATGGTGCACAGTAATGACAATTAGAGGTAAGTGTTGTTGTAGTTTTGATGTATGGTTTCTATGTTTTTGGGGGGTCGCTGAACCCATATCAGGTTTCCAAACAAGAATTTTACCTAGAAACACGGGTTTTAAGCAGAAAATGTAAAAGTTGTTTTTGAAAGTAACTCGACCATTTTTCGTAAATGTGAACCTATATGAAATAGAAGATAAATACAATTTTCTACATTTAATGCCATTAAGATTTTTTTCTTCAAGAGTTTAGCTGCGAGAACACCGGAAAATTCGGTTATAATTTTAAAAGGTAAAACGGCAATTATCTTACGCAATCTACAAAAACCCAAAACATATTTTTTTATAAATGTTGACCTGATATGAATGAAAAGAGATTACATGTATCTACATTTTGTTTGTGTGTTTTTTCTCTGATTAGCCGAGAGAGCACCGCAAAATTGTGTTTATATACTTTGCTTGAAAAAAAGTGATGCTTCCAGAAGGAGAGGTCCAATAATATCCTATTTTGATATACATGCATACCATTTATGTGTGCGTAAATTATTAGATTCACGCCTATATGCAATGTGTATAACGCCCACCAGAATACATTGGTTACCGTCCGGTTGCGCAGTTATATTTCGATTGCTGTGAGTCACACAGTTAAGAACGACGTTTACGTACAGTACGAAGCATCCGCAATGAAGCGCACACACGTTCGACAGCCTATCCACCAACTGACTGCTTTTGCCAGAGGCTGCATTATGGGACTTCATGAGGCTGGTTGGTCGTATCGACAACTGCCAAACATGTGGACCATTCAGATATCACAGTGGTCCGATATTGGAATCAATGGGTACATGAGGGCACCCATGCACATCGGGGCAGGCTCGGGTCGACCAAGAAACACCACCCTGAGGGAGGATTGTCGTATAGTGCGTCAAGCAGTGCGGAATCCCATGACATCGGCATCCGCCATCCGCGAACATGTACTGGCGACTACAACATCTTGTGTTCCCCCAGAGCTGCTCGACGACTCGCATCCGCGAGATTGGGGACCCGCCGCCCCCATGTGTCGGTTGACATTGATAACAGAACACCGACGTCGGCGTTTGTTTTGGTGCTGTGCCTGGGAGGCATGGACAGAGGACGAATGGCGACGCATCATGTTCAGTCATGAATCCCGCCTCGCAATAACCTCAAATGACCATCATATTCGAATATAGCGTCGTGAAGAGCAGAGGGCACTTCCTTCCCATATTGTGGAGAGACACAGTCGTAACCCTGGAAATCATAGTGTTGGGAGCCATCGGGTGCGTTCAAATCACCTCGACGTTGACGGTACAGCAATACGTCACACATTCTGCGTCCTCACGCCCTACCCCTTATCGCACATCACCCTGGGACAGTGTTCCAACAAGATATGGACGCCCACAAACAGCTTGTATGTCTATGGACTACCTAGAGCATGTTGATGTACTTCTGTGGCCAGCAAGATCCACGGACTTCTACATCATTGAACACGTGTGGGATGACATTAGAAGGAGGCTCCGTCGCCGTACCAACCAGCAGAATCTGGAGGAACAGCTGCAGCAACTGTGGATGAACTTGCCGAAAGAGAGTATCCAAAGGCTGTTTGACACCATTTCAAGCTGCATAAAGGTATGCATTGCAGTCAGAGGAGACACCCTGCCGCCAACTTTCCAGCTGTAACTGCCAGCGGCCATCTCTCTTTCATCCCATATTGTAATCAGTGCAGTGGCTTCACATGGCATTTTTGGCATATGTAATTTCATTCACTTCCAACCACTCCTTCTGAGTGCATCACTTTTTTTTTTTGTCAGGCAGTGTATTCCTGGAGTCCAGGGAGGAAAGGTTGAAACTTCGAAAATAAGGTCTTAAGACAATTGTGAGCAAATTTTGTCTAATAAACTCGTTGAATACTTTTCATGCAAAAATTTTCATTGCAAAAACATATAAACACTCCGGAAATACATAATTTGTTTATTATTTACAAAAGAAATGAATATATTTGTTCAGAAAGAAAAATTAACACTGAAATAAAAGGGTCTAATTGTGTAAATTGGGTTTAATAAAAACAATTTAGAGCCATTTTTGAGGAATTTTGAACATGTTTTTGATCCTTTATATAAAGTTCCCTCAAAAATCAAAATATCCGTTTGAAACTCCCAAAGTCTCGAGTTCGTTGAGAACCATCGGGGAATATCAATTTTGGAGAAAATCTGAACGGTTTAGGCGCTAGCGTTGACCACGGACGAATAGACATGGTCTTCAATCAATTTTTTCGGTATCAAGGACCCTGAAATCATGGATTCTGGCTACATAATGTTTTAGAAGAGAGATTTTACTACATATAGGAACAGGATTTATCCACTTTTTCGTACCAGGGCCCGACGAGTTTTTGTTTTGAAAATTCGCCTATTTTCGTCGCACGATTCTTTCACTGTCTTTTCGTACATTCGTAAGTGCGAGAAAGTAAAACGGATAGTTTTGAAGTTATATTGAGATAAAGTGGGATAATTCCCGTTTTTCACGTGTTTTGATTACATCACCAAATTTTGCTATCCTCTCGTAGCTAAACCGTCATTTGGAGAAAAAATATTAATGACATAAAATGTAAGTATTTTTATTGTTTTTTATTTCATATCGGTTCATTATTTAAAAATTGATGTTATTTATTCATTTTGAGAATGTAAAAAGGTTAGTTGTGGGGGCGGGCTTTAAAAACGTCTTTCCGGGCGAAATTGCTTGCTATCGTCCACCGGGCAACAGCTATGAAATCTTAGGCGCCCTCTACGAAAGAACAAAAAATATAAATAACCGTGACGTAGTTATTGCCGGAGACTGAAATCTCCCAGACGCAAATAGGAAGGGGATTGTGTGCGAAGGGAATGTCCAACAACTAGTCAACCGACTTGTCTGGGACAGCGGATTAGAGCTGTTAGTAGACCGGCCGACCCGGCACGATGCGATTCTGGATATTTGTCTAATTAGACCGAAATATATATTTTTGTCGTGTGACGTTTTAGAAGGTATAAGTGATCGTAAAGCCGTTTTAGTCTATTTGCAGTTATGTATTTCAAAGAAAATAGTACCACCGGTATTCCAGTAAAGGAATACAAGAAAGCTAATGTACAAGGGTTTCAAAATTACTTAAAAGAACGATATGGCGAATTTCTTAGAATAGGAGGAGGAATGGGAGAAATTTGGGGAGCGTTTAAAAATATTTTAGTAAATGCTGAACAGGCTTTTGTACCAAGTAAATTGCTAAAATGAAACTGTGATCCGGAATATTATAATGCAAAGATTAGGCGATTGGAAAGAAAAAACAGAGAAGCATTTTACAACAGACACCGTAGTGAAAATCATATGACCTTATTTCCAAATTATTCAAAAGCATTAAGGAAGTAAAAGAAAATGGCATAGGAACGTCATTTGAAACATATTCTTGATGCAGAGGGCAGAAATAATTGGTTGGTATTTTTTAAATACGTTCGATAATGGCCGACAAGGCTTTTAACGCATATTTCAGTTCGGTTTTCAAGCTGAAACCTAATAGTATATACCAACGCTGGCAGATAGTAGTTTTCATATTGATATACTTTGCGGAAAAGAATAAAATCAATGAAGAGAGGAAAATCACGAGGTCCAGATTGTATTTCCACGGACATTATTAAATTAGGTGGAGAGGCTATTCTAACATATTTAATTAGGTTGTTTAATGTATGAAAAAAACAACGCTTGCGTGACGGAAGATTGGAAGTTGGCTCTCGTAGTTCCTATTTTAAAAGTGACGACAAGACAATACTTAGTAACTATAGGCCGGTAAGCATTACATCTGTAGAATGCAAACTTATGGAACATCTAATTTAAAGCTTTATCAGGAAAGAATGGGAGGGCAGGGAGTGGCTTTATCAGGGTCAGCACGGTTTCAGAAATGGTTTCTCGTGCGAAAGTCAGCTAGTCTCACTTCTACAGGACCTAGCCGACGTATTTGATGAAAGGAAAAGGGTCAATGCGATAGTAATAGATTTTTTCAAAGCGTATGATGTTCCACTCGATCGTCTTATAAAGAAATTAATACATTCGGTTATAGACACTAGAGTGGTAGCGTGGATAAATGAACTACCTCGGAGCAGGAAACAGAAAGTTCGAATCGGTGGTTAGTTATCAACCTCGAGGAACGTCACGTCAGAAATTCCACTAGGAAGTGTCATCGGGCCACTCATGTTTCTGGCCTTTGTGAATGAATTGCCGACTGATTTAGCTTCAAATGTACAACTCTTTGCAGATGTCTGCGTAATTTATAGTATTATCAACTCGGAGAAGGACGAGGATATTTTGCAGCGAGACAAATTACAAATCTGGGCAGAAACAAACGACATGGAAATAAACAGTTCAAAGAGCAAGTCCATCACTTTTGGTAGGGATCGAAGTTACAATGAATCTGCGTACAAACTGAACAATAATGTTGTACCTCGAGTCACGTCTTGCAAATACCTAGGAATACAGCTAGACAGTAAATTGAGCTGGGAAAATCAAGTCAATTTCGTTGTAGGGAAAGCCTGGAAATTTTTGTTATGTGGATACTGAAACGAGTACAGTGAGAGCCAAAGAACTAGCATATATGTCATTTGTGCGACCCATATTAGAATCGGGTGCGGTACGTTGGGACTCATACAGAATTTTGCCGCAAAGGAATCCAGAAAAGGTCCAGCGTAGAATATCAAAATTTACTTGCAGGGGTACCATGAATAAAGGGGTATGAGAGCCAATCAAAAGGAGGAGATTAAAGGCACGTCTCTATGCAATGTATAAAGCGTACACAGGCCTTCAAGCGTGGAAAGAAATTCAAAGTCGATTAGGGAAACCTACATATTTTGGCAGAGCAGATCACATGCACAAAATTGAACTAAAAATTCAGAAAACAGACATTGGGAAATATTCATTCGCAAATCGAACTATTAGAGACTGGAACGGTTTGCCTGTTACAATCTTCGATCCCTTTCCTCAAAGCCTGCGCAAATTTAAAAATAAATTAGTTTTCTGAATGTTGATATGAGTGTTATAAATATATTTAATATTATTCAGTGTAAGTAACTATGCCAACTATGTAATTAAGTGTTGTTGTTATTATTATTAGTTATGTGCAGTGCAGTGACATTGTGAAACTGAGGGAAACGAGTGTGTAAGAAAGACATTACAGCTCGGTGTTTCGCAGTGCGGTGAAGTGAAGTGTGGTGAGGTGGAGTGCAATGAATGATTGCACGGTGAAATGTTCACGTTAATTTTTAAAGTTTGTATATTTTGTAAAGTTGTTAAGTTCTGTAATGTTAAGTTCGTGTATTCTGCCACCAAGTTTTCAAACTTAATTTCAAACTAATTGCAGAATTATTAATAAATCTAATCTAAAATTCTTGTTGGCAAACACGATATTTGTGTTCCACGACAAAAAAACGTAAAGGAATCAAATAGCAAAACTAAACACCACACCAAAACATCCTCGTTTTCTACTATTTTATTGTAGGAAAGTTGTCATACATGAATTTAACAAAATGAATGCCAAAAATTTAGGTTAATGTTTGATTGGAATTAGTAAAAATTCTTTGTTTTGTTTTAATCTTTATAATATTCATCAGAAATAAATTAGTTTATACTAAAAGTTTTATTTTGAAACTTGTGTTACTTGCTGACAAAAATATTCCCTGGTAACCCTTCAATATAGGGCTATCAATCATTGTGAATAAACTTGAAAATGTTTAGGAAAATAATTCTATCTTACGTTTCATAGTGTTTTCAGTCTTAATTAAGGAAGCATTTTTAAAAGACATTTAAAAAATCTTTCACATCAGTTAAAGCATGGAGGATAACCAGTATCATTTTGAACTGAAAATGGACTGTCAGTGGAATTTCATTCATATATCATCTCTTTCATTCTCTATAAAATATCACTGCAGTATTATTTAGTTTTGGTCAAATAGAGATCAGGAAATGAATTAATATTTTTAGTATTCATTAAATTTGTCAAGAAAGCATTTAGATTGTTATGGAAAGCTACTTTGAAAAAATAAAACAAATACTGAGTTGGTTGTGATTAAAGGGTCAGCTTTTTTTCCCTATTTCTTTATGAATATTTTAGGTTCATTAAAATATATTCTTCTATCCAATTACTTAACGTTAATTATGATTTTTGTTTCAGGATGAATCTCATCTCATTCAGAAGCGAAAAGAAAATGTGTTGGTATCCTCTGAGGCACAACACAATTATGAATCAGATAAATCTTCAGAGGTTACTGATCAGCACAGTGAAATTGAGAATGAAGTTCACAATGTAGAAAATCAAGAAATCATCTTACATGAAAATAGAGTAGAGAACACAACAACTGCTAACAACTTTGAATGTGAAATATGCTCTTATGAAACAAAATATAAAGCTTTTATGATTTTTCATTTACGTCAACATTTTCAAAGACATTATACTTGTGATTTTTGTAGTACTCCTGTTGCGTATGATCCTAGTCCAGCAAAAGAATTCCAGACATCTGATGCAAGTTGTAAAATAAGAAAAGATTCTGAGAGTAAAAGTAGCAAGTCAATTAAAGTTTCTTCTCCACGAATTTCCAAGCCTCAGACAGATTACCAACAACAAAACAGAGATTGTTTAGAAAAAAGAAATATGTGGATAACTAGGAAGCGTAAGAGTGCGAATGCTCAAGAAAGTGACAAATGTGTTAAGCGGACTAATATTTCCCATAAATTTGAAGATGATTCTCCACATGTCATTTTAAACTCCAAGGAAAAACAAAAAAGTCTGTTGTGATATTGCCAGAACAAGTGCTTAGGTGTGGTGGAATTATTTCACTGGAGAAATTGATTTATTAGAATTTATGTATTTAAGTTATGTTTACGACTTTAGAAGGTAAGCAATTCTGACTGAAACTCTCTTTGTTATGTCTTGCCATCAAATGGATATCTTCCAATTCTAGTGACCTTGTGAGTTATTCATTAGAAATTTAATATCTATTCTTCACTCCTTTCATTTATCTGCTTCATTTATTTTCTGAATTGAAAGAATTAGGGATCCCTTTATTTTCGGTTAAATTGTGTAATTGTTTCTTTCATTTCAATTTTATGAAGTGTGGGAATGCTGATGAGGTGCTGTTGATGTAATTGAATGATGAAATAATTGAAGTCATAATCAACTTAATGGATTAATATTAAGTTCATCAACTTAATAAATTAAATTGGCAAAATTTACATCCATTATTTCATCATTCATCAATTTTGTGAAGTATGAAAAAGTATTAAATGTTGCTGTTGATAGTCAGTGGTCTTTTATATTTATCAAAATTCTGTATTGAAGCCAGCTTTTATGTACAAATTTCCATCTTACTTAGGTTATGAAAACATTGCAGAAATGTACTAAAATCAACCAATGAATGAAATGAGCTTTTCATTAAAACTTTTTGTAATAGTATTAAGTACCTATTTTAATAAATTTGATACAAATAAGGTGTAAGTGGTATTATTTATTGCAATTCAACCAACTTTTTGTGATTGACTTCGACTATACCCTTCATGCAGCGCTTATATTGCAGAAAAATATGCGCCCTTGTAAGCACATGAGTTCGCTGAATTGATGATATTAAAAGATGTAATCTGCAGTGATTCAAAAAGCTCGCTCAAATATATCTCCTGCTTCTCTTCTTGTGGCCCTCTGACAATAATAATCCAACACAAAATCCATAATTTACTAGTTTGTTATAATTAGTTTTTATGTTGGATTCCTGGTCATGTTGGGATATTTTTTATTTATTTAGTGAAAAAATAGTAAAAACACTAAGTGACGAAGGGGGGAGAAGCTTGTTATAAGACAACCAGTCTGCTACTGTTGTTAGGTCGGTTACTGCTGCTACACTGACAGGTTATCACTATTTAAGTGAGTTTGAAGTGGTGTTGTGGTTGGCGCAAGAGAGATGAAGCGTAGCATCTCCGAGGTCGCGATGAAATTTGGATTTTTCCGTAAGACCATTTCACCGTGTACCGGATATCGGAAATCCGGTAAAACATCAAACCTCTGGCTGCAGTCGCAAAAAGATCGTGCAAGAACGGGACAGACGACGACTGAGGGGAATCATTACCCTTGACAGATGCACAATCCTTCCGCAAATTATTGCAGATTTCAATGCTGGGCCATCAACATATGTCAGCGTGCGAACCATTCAACGAGGCATTATACGATATGGAGTTTCGGAGCCGAAGGCCCACTTGTTTCCCCATGATGACTGCACGACACAAAGCTTTACGCTTTGCTTGGGTCAGTCAACACCGACATTTGACTGTTGATGACTTGAAACACGTTGCCTGGTCTAACGAGTTTCGTTTCACATTTTTTCCAGCGGATGGACGTGTACGAGTAGGGCGACTACCTCATGAATCCTTGGACCCTACATGACAAGGGAATGTTCAAGATGGTGGAGGCTCTGTGATGGTATGGGGCTTCTGATAGTCTAGATGTGACTCTGACAGGTGGCACGCACGTAAGCACTCTGATCACCTACACCCATTCAAGTCCATTGTGCATCTCGACGGACTTAGGCAGCGCGTCCAGCAGGACAATGCGATAGCCCACAGAATTGCTACAGAGTGGCTTCAGGAACACTCTTCTGAATTTAAACACTTCCACTGGCCACCAAAATCCCCAGACATGAACATTATTGAGTGTATCTGGGATGCCTTGCAACGTGCTGTTCTGAAGAGATCTCAACCCCGCGTATTCTTACGAGAATACGGACAGCCCTGCAGGATACATGGTGTCATTTACCTCCAGTACTACTTCAGACATTAGTCGTGCCATGCCACGTCGTGTTGCGGCTCTTCTTCGTGCTTGCGGGGGCCCTACACGATTTTAGGAAGATGTACCAGTTTTTGGCACGTCAGTGTTTTATATAATTGTTCGAATCGATCAATGCTGCTTGGAAAGGTTGTGTAATAGGTATTTTGTACGGATGTGATGAGAGCTTGGTATTGATTCGTTAGTTTGACACAACACGTTCTTTCATAGGCTCTATACTCAGGATTAAAGTAATTATTAAAAGGCCGCATTCTAATTGCAAAGATAAATTTAATAAATACTTAAATCCTTGTTCAAACGTGTCATGGAGTTTATTGGGAGACGAATACCGTAAGTCTAAACGTGTTAAGCTGAGTATTTTTCATTTCTAGGAAGGGATGGAAAGAAGTCCAAAATTATTTTTACGCATTGTCGCAAACTTCTACATGTTTTTGATAATGTATGTGGTTGCTTGAAGGGGGAAGTAAGTAGTTTGTATTTTCTAATTCCGGAGATATTAAAGATCGGAGACAATTTGGCAGGGGGCTGATTAAATTACTCCTATTTTCAGAAAGGATTAATCAAGCACAATAATATTCCTGAGTTAAATGCAGTTTGCCAATGTTCATTTAATGAACAATTAAATCCTTGAATACATTCGAAAAGAATTTGGGAGTTTACTGAAAGAATAATGTAACAGAATACCATAAATCTAAATTGGTTGAAATACTTATATTTACTTTTTCCCAAAGGATGGAAAGAAGCCCTAAATTATTTTTAGACATTGATGTAAATCTCTATGTGGGTTTGATAAAATACACAATTCCTGGAAGTAAAAGTCAAGCAATTTAGATTTTGAAAATACTCGAGAACAAGACAAGCCCAAAATTATTTCACAGACATCCTATTTACCAATATGTATACAATTGCTAATTAACTTCTTTTTAACATTTGTTCAGTATGTTAGAGTTTCTTCACAGAAGAACCAAAATTGTCCAAAAAATATAATACAGTTTGCCTGAGAATTTTCCGTTTTTGGAAAGAATAAAAGGAAGCCCAAAATTATTTTTTTGTATTGTAATCCTACACATATGTTTTAAACAATATTTGATTGCTGGAAGCAAAATTGAAGTAGATTAGATAAGTATTGTCATATCCAGGAACTTCCTTCCAGAACAGCCAACTCGGAACAAAGAAATCATCACGTGTACGTTTTGAATCAATAAATCTAATATGAAATGAAAACAAATTCTGTAAACATCATATATAATCTATTTAATGCCGTTTATAATTGACTGAACTTGTGTACTTTCAATAACAAGCGAAATTCATAAAATCACGTTGCAGCGTGTTAAAACATTATTCCCCTGAGATACTCTCCGTCGCCGCGCAGCGCTAGACAGCGCCGCCCGTCTGGTTGCACCATCACAAAAGTCCCTATGTTCCCCATGTTAAATAGAAGGGCCAAAGAGTAAATGCAGTAAACCCAGTAATGCAGCCAAGGCTGTGGGGCAATACTTTGCAAGGCACCAGACACCGGAGAGAGTGCCAGTTGGACGCTCTTTGGTTTCAAAATGATTCCATATACATCAATGTTGCTGCAATTTCTTGAATATTGATTGTCATTAAAAGCAAAATGTATATTTTTAAGATATTATGAGATATTTTTCAATTATCTGGAAGTTGTGTAACCTAAGCACGAACCGCCACTGGTTACGTATATTCTTTCCTTGCAGCTTTTTTGGTTTTGTGTATGCTTAAATACAATATTCGACAACTGTTCAACACGACTTGATCATTAGTCACATTCCCATATTATTAATCTGGGAGAAATGTTAACTTAGGCGACGCAGTACGACGGAACGAGGCTGTGGACATTCGACCTCGCCTACACAAGTCGAAACACCCGAGAAGTTACCACAGAATGCACTTCGTGGAACAGTTGCGTGAGTCATTGAACAATCGACAATTACCTGCATTTGCGTGTTCCTCCTGTCCAAATGAATAGGATTTGATTGTGATGCCATCCAAATTTGTATAGAAATTTAGTTCAATTTATAACGCGGTCACGTAATCAAGGTCAAACGCCAGCGAGCTCATCTGAACCGCAGACGATGTTAAAGCTAGAGGTTAAATCTAGAGTCTTCCAAGGCCTCAAGGGCTACAAATAAAACCTTTAAAATGGTTTCGGGGCATATTTTCAATACTCGGGCGATCCACACCTTACTTCCCGTAATGTTGATATCGGCATTTTGCCAGGCTGCATTGAAACGAGAGGTGATCGAACCATGCGTGATGTCAGGCCGTGACATACATAACACAGTGAAACACATTGGAATGGTTTTGAAGTTCTAAATTTACTAGAAAATCCTTGTAAGTGTAAATCCTAGCAGGTCGCGTGCGCTAGGTGCACAATGTTCTCGCCCGACATGGACTTTCACTTTTGACTAATAACCTTTCGCGCGCCACAACAAATGGTAGCGAGGGCCGCGAGTTGGACAACCATGGGTTAAATATGGGCAGGGTTCTTTTAAATTTTGTATAGCAATCATTAGAGAAACAGTGACTAGTTCTAAATAAGTAATTGTTCATTAATTCACTTCTTTCCATGAATTGAAAAACGTTTTTTTAAAAATAGAAAGTACTTAATTATTGTAATTTGTATTTCATTTAAAGGACGCATTTAACTGGAAATTCTTATCTTAAGAATTTGCAAGCAAACAAGTATGTACCAGACCAAATACCAATGTAAATATGCACAGTCGATTTTTCTTTTTTTCATAGGTTTATGTTAATTTTGGAACAGTGTGATAATTTTTTTAATTGTATGATGGTGTATTTTTTTCAGACCGCTTAATAGTAGTTAATGCAATTAGTTTATAATATTAAGCTTTATTGCATGAGTACATGTTTTGAAAACGATCAACTTCTGGAGCGAGTTTTCAAATTTGTACGAGTGTAATAAAGCAACATTATAAACGAGTTGCATACTATATTTTTTGTATAATTTACATTTATAAGAGAATCAAACTTAATTTTGCGAAACAACTTCCCTGTGACGACTCAGCTATTTGACATCGTGCGAGTAAACGGTGGTCGGCTGTTCCGTTTAGCTCTACCTCCCGCCGATTCTCTCGCTGCGATTGGCTGAATGTGTGATGACGCAATCATTCGTGACATAAAATCTAATACGTCATCATTTGTGCCGTAAAATGCAGATTATGAACGATTTCTTGCGATAGAAAAGGTTCTTTTATAATGCTGGAATACAAAAAAGTATTTATAGTCAGTGTTTAAGGGTTATGTATTGTGTATGTGAATTCTTTTCAGCAAGTGTATTTTATTGAGTTAATTAGTTAGATGTTGATTGTTTTTTGCCGTTGAAAAATTACTGAGGATACAATCTACCATTTTTTGTGTGCGTGTGTTCCTTGAGAAATAATATATTCTCTATTTAAAATATAAGACTCACTCAACTACTTCTTTGTTTTGATATCGAAAAATGAAACCCAGACCCTGGTTGCAGTTCAAACATTCTTTTAACTGTAGATGTTTTTTGTGGCATCCAATGTATATCCGGATGCCTCGTTCCGAGCATGTGATTATATGTGCTTGATTGATCGGCACCAGGAACCCCATAATACTGAAAACCCGAGTGATGACACTTTTGTCACCGCTTCCCAC